GTATTTTTTTTCCTTGCTCTTTTATGAAAATGATTGTCAAACTTTTTTGTACTGATTATCTAACGTGTTGCACTGATTATCCAATTATTTTCTATTGATTATCCAAATTGTTTGCAATGCTTAGCCAATCATTTTTTCTTTCTTTATTTTTTTTTTTTGAAGAGTGAATCTCAAAAATATGATTGGATAACAAGTACAAACAGAATGGATAATCAGTCCAAACCGGTTGGATAATCAGTAGGAACACAACGGATAACCATTTTTCCAAGAAAAACGAAAAACACATTTCTTCATTTCTGCCTGTAAAATTTAAATGCATTTAAATTCCAAAAAAAATATTCAACATGGATCTTATCGGATAGATTTCGTCGAGCACTATAAATGTCATGTATAATTCGTATTCTAATTCTTTACGGATCAAGAGATATATGCAATACAAGAATTTTAATCTAAACTAAACTGGTTATCCATCTTTCTAAACTAGATATTCATCTTATTCTGCCCATCAAAATTTAGTCATTTTTAAACTCGAAAAAAATATTTGACATGGATCTTATTGGATAGATCTCGACGAGTACAATAAAATTCATGTGTAACACGTTTTATAATTCTTCACGGATCATGAGATATAGTCGTTTAAAGATTAGAGATGTTTTTTAAAGGAGAAAGAAAAAAAAATCAAAGGGACTAAACCTGTAAATTATAGGATGTTATTTATAAAAGTGGAAAAAAATGTAGTAAGAACTAGTAGTGTAAAAAATAAGAGGGGGAGTATGGTGCCCCCGGTATACTGGATAGAGACTCTAATTTTTGTGTGAAGTCTAGGAATTACATTGGCCACCAAACCTCCATGGTTGAATCATTTTTAAATCAACGGTTACAAATAATTTCATGCGAATCAGCCTTAATTGGTAAAAAATAAAAATATTTAGTAAATCACCATTCATCATTCTCCGATCTCTTTCTATTATTCATTCATCATTTAGTACGGCTAATGGAGGTTTGAAGTCAAGTACTAGTCTACATATTAAAAATTCGGGAAATTTCTCCATAAAAAACACTAAATTGTTTCATAAAAATCAAACCCTTTTTTCCTATGAAAATTATAATTTCCTAAGGTAGAGGCCACGGCCTCAGCCTCAGTCTCAACCACCGATTCCCCGACCGATTCCGGCCATTGAAAAATCCTTATTAAGTGACCAGAAAAACCTCCTTAAATAATCCTCAACCAGGAATAATTCTCATTGATTTCAGTATTATCCACAAAATGTGAGTAATCTTACGATATATTTTGCAAGTTTACCTGCGTCTTCAATTGGTGTTAACCATGGTATGTAGGTAGAGTGGTGTCGTGGTTAAGTTTACCTATCACGATGCAAGCTTAATTGCAAACAAGATTTACTTAAATAGTCGAAGTTTCAACTCGGGTGGTCATCGAATGATAGTTAACTATCCCAATGGAGATAATTTAGTTGATCTTAATCCCGGTACACCAAAAAATCTTAGGAAGAGTAGTTCTTCGGCGAATTTGATCAAAGACCAATGGTCTATAAAAAAATAGGTTATGTCACTCTTTTGTTACTCTATTCGATTTTTTGTGAATTGATCTTTTTTTTTTAATCTCTATTTGCTTTTGAAAAAAATTAAAAACAAAAAACATGTAGATTCACTCCATTTGATTTTTTGGGATTTTGATTTTTATTTACTTGTTTTAATTATCATTGGGATAGTGAATTAAAGCGGTTGGTGGCGCACTTCAGAGAAAAGAAGTGGGGTTCAGATTGATGACGTAACTTGTTAATGTTCATCAGCATTTAAATTGTTTTTCTTTTTGTGAAAGTAACTTCACCAATGTTGTTGCTTTCACATGATTTGAAATTTTGGATGTTTAATGCTTAGTGAAGTAGAAATTAAGGCAAAATCTTATTAATTAGATCTTCATAAGACTTTCATACCTAAAAACAAAAAATTTATAAAAAAACCCCAAAGTGACATGATATCTTAATTACAACCAGTTATTAATTTACGTTTTGTTTGAAGTAGACTGGAAAATTTAATATTTTACCACGTTGAGATATCATCCAATTAAAGTCTAAGATGCTATCAAATTCTAGGGATAGCAATTCCTGACACGATTAGGACTTTCAACACGAACCCGACACGAAATATCCGGGTTCAAATTAAGATTCTAAACCCGTATAATAAACTGGTCGAGGTTGACCTATTTATTATATGGATCAGATTCGGGTCAACCAGCCAGGTTACCTGTATATATGTAATTTATGTATTTCTAAGGTTAATTTGGGAATTTTACAGCAAAGTAACCCTAACATTCTTCACTACTTCGTTCAGACTTGTGACTCTACTCTTTCAAAATTCACATTTTCACTCTCTTGGTCTCTCCTTCGCGGCGGCCGACCAAAAGAAAGGTGAAAACGTTGGCCCGATAAAAAAATCTTCGTTTGTCTATTTTCTTCAGGTCCTTCCCAATTAGAAATTAAGTTGGTAGAAGAAATCAAACGACTGCAATTCAAAGAGGCGGCGGAAATTTAGCAGTAATGCCATCAAATTTCACAAGCAGAAGGGGGCTTTGGCAATTTGGAATAAGCAAAGAGCCTTTACTTCGTCTCAAGGTAGATTTTTCTCAACCTGCAATTTAATTAATATCAATAATTTCTCTGGTCGCCTTTGGTTAAAGGATCAAGGGTTATTCCTTTGTCCGCTATGATTCTTTTATTCTTTCTATTGTTGTTATCGATCTTTTTGTTTGATGAAGCAATGGGAATCCATCGATGCATATAGAACATTAGTTCTCTGTTACTTTTAGTTTTTTTGCTCATTTCCGTTCTCTGTTAATTCAAATTTTCCTTTAATCTTATTTTCTTGTATAAATGGAATCCATCAATGAAAAACTGGAGTTTGATATTGGCCTTGAAGTTAAAAGCAGTGACCAGGGAGACCGATGCCGATGAATATGATCATTATGGTTGTATTATGTGAGATTTTTATTCTATGATTTGATGGATTGTAAGAAATTATGGTTGTATTCTTTAAGACTTTTGTTCTTTGGTTTGATGGATTGTAAGGAATACTTCAAATATTAGGCTTCATAATTGTTATTTTTTTATGGGTTAAGCAGGTTGAGCTTGTGAACTTGTGCTTCTGATTTTTTTTTTCGGGGTTAAACAGGCTGACCTGATTTTTTAAAAGGTTGGGTTATGGTTGACAATCTTGACCTGTGTAATTAAACAGGTAGAGTTCAAGTTAGGTCTAATTTTCCCGGGTTCGGGTTCGACCTGACCTGCCAGCCCAAACCCGACATGGATTGTCAACCCTATCAAATTCAAACAAATGTTATAATTAGTTTTACCAAGGATTTTTTTTTTCCAGATTGAAAGTTGAGATTGAGTTGGTGACGACTGACTTAAAAATTACAGGTTTTGTCTTATTTTTTGAATTAAATAGATACGAGTTTGGTGATTTATTGCCACTTATATATATGTAATATATATAACCTGAAAGTACTTATTTTGGTTACCAAAATAAAAGAGCACTTATATTTCCTTTTCCCCTCAAAACACTGCCGGATCTAGGCTGGGGGCCTTGGCCCACCCTAGCCTTTTATATTTTTCAAGCTACTGCACTCCTGGTTGTTCTTGAAGGAACTCTTGAGGTTGGTATTGTCACCTCAACGCTGGAAAACAAGCTGTTCAAAAAAGTGCTTAACAAAGGAGATGTTTTCATATTCTCGATTGCACTCATTCACTTCCAACGCAATATCAGGTCTGGAAATGCCGTCCTTTTTGCCGGATTGAGCAGCCAAAACCCGGCCGTGGTCCTAATTGCAGCTACTGTTTTCGGGTCAAATCCACCCATTAATGATGAGATGCTGGCCAAGGCTTTCTTGATAAGAGCATCGTGGATTAGATTCAGACCAAGTTCTAAGCAGCAATATCAAGATATTAAAGAATAAAATCGATAATCTCTCCCTTTCCAATTCTTGTAATTTGTGTTTGAACGGGGAAGTCCAGGAGTTACACTGACTGCCAAACCTCTACCGTTGGATCATTTTTAAATCTAAGAATAATTGCATGCGATGCCAGCCTTAATTGGTAAAAAGAAAATAACAATATTAGTCGAGAACTTTAGTATTCATCATTCTCCGATATCTTCTTATGATTCTTTCATCATTTAGTTTGACTAATTGGGTTCATGAATCAAGTACTAGTGACTAATCTACCATATTGAAAAATCGGGAGATCTCTCTATAAAAGCCACTTAAGTGTTTAATAAAAACCTAACCCTTTTTCATTACCATTTCCTTTAATCATCACTCTTTTCATGGAAGGAGGAAAAGATTTTCTGTTTGCCTTTGGAAATTATAGTTTCCTAAGGCAGCAACCACCACCCAAACCTCAGTCTCAACCACCGCTACCACGGCCGATTCCGGTCATTGAAAATTCCCTATTAAATGTCCAGGAAAACCTCATTAACTCTCAACAAGGAATAATTTGCACTGATTTTAGTACCATGAACTCCACCACCCAACATTATTATCATCATCCTCAAAATGTGAGTAACTGTCCGCCACATTTTGCTGGTTTACCAACTTCTTCAGTCAGCATTAACCACGGTCATGTAGGTGGGGTGGTGCCGTGGTTAAGTTTGCCTCATCATGACTCACGCTTAACTGCAAACGGGTTTCACTTAAGTGACCAAAATTATAACTGGGATGGTCAACAAATGCTAGTCAATTTAACCGAGACGAGAGAAATATTAGGCGGTTCTTCTTCTGTGCATTTGATCAAACGCCAATGGTCTGATAAAGAGGACAAGTATATCAGTTCTCTTTTGTTATTCTATTCGATTTTATATGACTTGGTGTTTTTTTTTCCTGCTTTTGCAAATAAAATAAATAAATAACCATGGAAGTTTAGTCCATTTGATTTGTGGCATATTAATTTTATTTTTCTGTTTTTCATTATCATTGGGGCAGTGAACTGAAGCGGTTGGTGGCGGATCTTGGAGAGAAGAGATGGGCTCAGATTGCTAAGAAAATGGCCAGAAGAGTAGGAAAACAGTGTAGAGAAAGATGGCTTAATCATTTGCGTCCGAATATCAAGGTTTCTCCCTTTTCTTCTTAATTAATTGCCATCTATATAGCACTTGTTGATGTTCATAAGCATTTAAATTGTTTTTTTTTTGTTTTCTTTTGTGAAAGTAACTTGAGCCAATGTTATTTTTCACATTGTTTGGAATTTTAGTTTTTATTTGCTAAGTGAAGTCAAAATCAGAAAAATCTTAAAAATTAGACCTTCATAAGAATTTGGTTCCTAATTTTTTTATAAAAAAAATAAACCCAAAATCTGGTGATTTCTGAATTATAACCATTTAATTTCTATATTATTTGAGGTTTTTTAGAAACTGAAATTTGACCACGTTGAGATATCATTCACTTGAAATCTAAGATTCTATCAAATTCAGACACAATTCATTGGACAAATACTGCAATTGGTTATATCATAGGATTTTGTGTTTCCATATTGAAAGTTGAGATTGTTTTGGTGACCACCGACTTGAAATGGGAAGGGTTTTGTCATATTATTTGAATTAAACATTTGTGATATTCATGATTATTGCCACCTTTGTTTTCTCTGAAATTACTTATTTTTGTTACTAAAATAAAAAGTACTTATTTTTCCTTTTTTCTAGAAAATATATATTACCGTCATAAATACTTACTAGTATTTTCTTAAATTTCTAAATTAGCAAGTTTTCACAAATTAATACCAATTATTGGAGAAAGGTTAGTTAATTTGGTTTTGACCAAATAAAATTTTAGAATACACTCCACTGTATTTTCTCACATTAGAAAATCATCATTCCCATCTAGTCTTAAACCCAATTTTCAAGTGATTGTTTGATACAAAGCTCTTCTACCATAAAAGAAACTGGGTTTTGGACCCGTGCATTCGCACGGGTATGAAATTAGGTAAATGGTTTCTTTTTCCCTTCTTATACATAACGTATGTCAAAAGGATAAAAGATCGAACATTTCATGTCGTTTTGTCACATTCATACAAATGGAAATCAAAATGTGATAGAGTACATTATTAAGCCCTTCCCTTCCCCCAAGGCCCCAAATATATTTACAATAATTTACTCCAGAAATTTAATTTGTTTTGCATGCATTTTCCTTTTGTCTGCTACATCTCCGGTCTCTTCTCTTTCGGATCTGAATTCTCAAGTCTTTCTCCAAATAAATGAAGGATGGAAAGGTTTATAGTTTGGAATATTGTTTGATATTACTCCTGGAGGTTTTTTTTTTTTTTTTGAGAAAAACTAAATATAAATCGTGAGGGTGAGATAGTTTGAGATTAATCATGGAGGGGGTTTTTTTTTGTTGGGGAATTATAGATGTTAACTGTTGTAATAGTGGGAAATTATATCTGGAATTTTTATTTTTATGAAAGACTTAGAGGAGCAACTTTTAAGGAGAACATGACATGTGAAATTTTGGGAAAAACATTATTTTTGCTATAATGGGGTTTATAAAAATAAAAAAAGAGTAGTATATTAACAAAAAAAAGAGTAGCATATTAACAAAACAGGAGGTTTGGAATTTTGTTTAACAAAATATTTCTTAAAATTATAAACACTCGGAAAGATCTAGGGACGATAATACATTAACACTGCGTATAGTTCCTTAGGCTGTCGAGAACAATCTCATCTCTAATCTTTTCGTTGACAATCATCAACAAGTAAGAAAAGAAAAAAAAATCACAGTTGGCCTCTTATAGAAAATGTTGTACCTTCTTTCTCCATTCTTTTTTGTCAAAACTGACTTCAGTGCAGAAAATAAAAAAAGAAAATTGAGGATCGATGAAGATTGTAGGAAATGGAAGCTGATTGAGATTATTCTTGTTTTGGGGAGGATAAATTGATTAGATTTACAGTTTTCTTATTATTTTGAAAGTGCCGAATTTATTTAAATAATTGGAAGCTAATATTTGGATAGAAATTTGGAGTTGATTATGGAAGATAATCAAAACCAAAGAAAACGTGAGATTTTTTAGCTTTTTTTGTTTAGCAAAATTAATCAGGATTACTATAGAGATGGTTTCCATTTTCTTTTTCTTTGTTTAGTTTTTTTTTTTTTGAATTTTTTTATTAGGAAACTAAATAGTTGTCGTCTTCTGTTTTCTTTGTTTTTTGGGTTTTCTTTTTTTAATTTTGGGTTGGGAGACTTTTAAGGATAATGTGACATTTGGAATTTTGAAAAAAAACTTGATTTTTGATATAATGGGGGTTACAGAAGATAGATAGATAAATGTTAGTTATGAGACTCTTCACAAATATGCAATAACGTGTACTTAATATGTTCAATTGAACACAATAATAGTATTTATGAAGTTAATCTGATAAATAACAATGCGACAAAAATTTCATGATGTCACATATTTTTGTCGTATAATCGCATCAAAACTGTAGAGAACATGACACATTTATTTAAGAGAATAAATCAAACTAGCATCTCCCTACTTTCTAATATTTTTTTGTTCCTACTAGTTTTCATGATTGATTATTTCTTTTCCTTGGAAAATATTTTAGAAGGACAACTGGAACGAAGAAGAGGAAAAGCTATTAATCCGCGTTCACAAGGAAGTTGGCAATCGTTGGGCGGAAATTGCCAAGAAAATTCCAGGCAGGACCGAGAATTCCATCAAGAATCACTGGAATGCCACCAAAAGGAGGAAAAATTCTAGGAGGAGCAAGAAATCACAAGGGCAAAATGGGAACAATAATCAGCCCTCCGAACTCCAGGTGTACATCAAAGGTCTCACTCTTCCTCCTCAACCCGAAAATGATAGTTCTTCTTCCTTAAGCACCGGAGCCACTAGTAATGCCGGCAGTATTCCGCCGTACTCCGCTGTCTCCAATGACCTCATTGGTTCAGATTATACAGAGCCATCCCTATCGGATGAATCTGCATTCCTTTTAGGCACGCAAGATTCATTTGATGATGAACTGAAGTTCATCCAAGAGTTTTTCGCGGATGACCCTAGCCCTCTCCCCACCAACCTGAATAGCAACATTACAACGAGCTAGCTTTGATGAGCTAGCTTCAGTTTTTTATGGCTTGCTTTTCTGCCATGTTCAACCCAACTATCTAGAACGAAAACTTTGTTGTATTGAGATCATTGTTGTTTGATTATCTTTTGAACTATAATGTTCTTTGAATCGAAATAATTTTTGAATTTTGTATGTTTTTTTTTTGGGGGAGAGGGGTTTCTATGTTATATTTTTTAAAGAGCTATTTTTTTTTTGTTAGTTTTTGTACTAATCATATATGTTATGTTCAACTATAATTTTTTTGACAAAAGCATATGAAAAATAAAAATAGAAACATTATGACCAGTAACTTGGAGCCCTAGGGGGTAAAGCTATCATATTCTAAATAATTATTAACAAGTAAAAATCTTAACATGATTTCTATTGTGTTTATTTGTCAGTACGACGCAGAGTATGAATTAACATAGCACATGTTCTACATGAACACTATTTCTCTATTTTTTTAATTAATATTTAGAGCTAAATTTTGTCAGTTAAACTGATTTCACCCTTTTTTTTTCTTGTCAGTTAACAAATTATAAGAAAATTCATGAAAACTCTTATTCAAAGAAAAATAAAAATAATTGCTCACCACATACAAAGAATATGGAAAATTTTGAAACTGACGTATGACAATACTTCATCCACACTTGATAGTTGATACCATAGTATAATCATCACTACTCATAACTGCAAGCTGCTTATATATCTTGATATTGCTGCTTAGAACTTGGCCTGAATCTGATCCACAATGCTCTTATGAACTAGGAATTGAATGCCTTGGCCAGCACGTCATCACTGATGGGTGGATTTGATCCGAAAACAGTAGCTGCAATTGGAACCACACCCGGATTTTGGCTGCTTAATCCGGCTAAAGCGACGGCATTCCCATACCCAATGTTGCGTTGAAAGTGGATGAGTCCAATCGGGAAGATGAAAACATCTCTTTTGTTAAGCACTTTTCTGAACAGCTTGTTTTCCGGTGCGGAAGTAACCAAACCTGTTGGGGTAATGCTCCAAAAATACAAAAAATAATATATATAATACTTGAGTCGTACAAATTGCACTGTCTTAAAGAAACTATTTCGGCGTAACGAAATGTTCTCCCCAAGATAAAACAAGCCTTTCTCTTTTAAGTTTAGAGGGCGCATGAACTAACAAGTATATAGATCCAATATTTAAGCGGGATTGAAAGAAGAAGAAACAGACTCAAGAAAAGTTTGCTTGAGGGATACCTTTTGAAAGCCATGAGATGATGCTATTTATAGGCTATACTTTTCAACTCAAAAGAATCTCACACGGTGAAAGTTATTTCTACTTTTAATGCAGCAACCTTTCTCATCAATGCATATGTTGTTAATTCATGAGCTAAGATGAGTTGGTTGAAGAGAAAAGATCAGATCACTTTCATCTTTGCAGTAATGAAAAATAATGAAACTTTGAACTAACTTTTTGAAAAAAAAAAACGTAAAGTTTAGAACTTGGCTGAAATTAGTTTCATAAACTCACCCATATTTTTTTCTTCCTTAAATGATCTTTTGAAATAAATTAAGTAAAAACGCCAACAAAACCAACCTCAAGAGTTCCGTCAAGAACGACAAGGAGTTCGGTGGCTCTAGGGTGAATGTGCGGTGGGTAAAGGCCCCACGGAGCGTAGTCGATTCTGGCCGTGGAAATGCCGAAAGTGTTAAAAGAGTCCTGGGAATTGGGCCACGAACACCTGAGTGACGTTGGAGTCCTGTAGATTGGTGGTGTTTCCGGGCTTGTCTAAGCCGTGGAAGACAAAATCGTCGGCCGTAATGTCTTTGGGATTCTTGCACGTGAAGCAAATGACGTTGACTGAACTAGCCTTATCAGCCACGCAAAAATCTTGAAGGGCCTTTGGATCGGATGCAACCACATGAATGGATAAGAATGAAAAGGCTACAAGACATAAAAGAAGCATAACCGCGGAATTCGCCATTGCGATGAACCAAAAGATACGATCTGGATCGAAAGATGGAGGATATATTGTTAGATAATACAAGTTTTAGAATTGATGAAGTTTTGGATGTGATGAATGAAAAGAGTGATGAGTTTATGTGTTTATATAGATGTGGATCAAAGACTTCAAGTTCACGCTATCCGCGTTATATTGCGGGTGTTGATTCAATATCTCATTCCTAACCAGCTGATATCTACGTATCAATATATAGTATTTCCTACATATTATGTTTTTTCAAAACATAATAAATCATAGTTTAGAATTTTTTTTTAAAATTGGTTGTTGAATTTGAAGAGCCTCCTGCTACGTACTTGCCCTTTGGACGTCTTCAGACATATTGTTTGACTTAATCGATAGTGTATGCAAAACATTCGTTTTTTAGGAAACATCCAAAGGAGAATATACAAATTCATTATCAAATCTGAAAAGACGTAAACCTAGGATATGACCGAAAATTATATCATTGAAAAAGAGAGACATCTGGCAGGAGGAGGGAACAAAACAAAAAAATAATGAGCTTGAGCTGTTTTTTTTATTCGGAAAGAAAATCAGAAGAAAAATGAAAAAAAAAAATTCTCATATCTGATGAACTACACCTCTTCAGTAAAGAATTCTTCAATAAAAAGAATTAAAAGAAAAAAAAAACATAATAAGTGAGGATGGTTTTCGCCAACCCATTTAAATTGAAGCACCTCTTTTTTTCTTTTTTTTTTTTTTTTTTTTTGTGATGAATGCAAGCAGCTGTTAATTGGAGGAAACATTCCATGCAATGGGCCCTATAATATAGAATAGAACAACTTGAAATTTTCTTTGGGTAAATTGTGATTAATTTCGATATCTTCATATATATTTATATATTACATGGAGTTAAGTACATTTTCACAGAAAGACAATGATATTATATTTCGTTGCAATAAAGGAGGTAGGTATAAAGATAGACCTGGAGATGGCAACAGGGGCACCAGACCAAATATGAAAACCTAGATGACCGGATGCTAATTTAATATTTGTGCATTTTGAATGAATTATTTGAGATTTGTGGTTATATTTAGCTAATTATTTATTTGGTAAATAAACAATGTGTTTAGTTACAAATCTCAATTAATTAATTATAGTTTATCATAACTAATTAGCCGTAACAAAAATATTTTATCTTAATTTGTTAAAATTACATTAATTAATCTCAACTAAACGTGACAACATTAGTTTATTTTAATTTATCATAACTAGATTAAATAATATTAAATTTTTTTATGTAATATTAAATAATTATAAAATAAAATAAAAAACTAAAAATTGGGGCGTGCAAATCTTTGGCGTAGGAAATGCCCGCCACTGATAGGTCCTGGCGTGCGAACTGCACGCCCTTGGTCAGGCTCTGGAATAGGGTTGGCAATCTCTGACACGACTCGGAATTTCGACACGAACCCGACACGGAATAAGCGGGTTAGGGTTGAGAATTTGGACCCATATAATAAACAGGTCGGATCAGGGTTGACCCATTTATTATACAGGTTGGGTTCGGGTCAACCCGCCGGGTTATCCGGGTTACCCGAATAAATGTAAATTGTGCATTTTGTAGGGATATTTTTGGAATTTAGCACAAATCTTAACCCTAATTTTACTCTCATATATAAACTCCTTATGATGCAATCAACCCACTATTACAAGTTTATTCACTTAGGCTGCCTCATTTGCTTTGTCTATTCCTCCCGGCGGCCTCCAACCAAAATTCCCCAAAAATGAGAAACCTACGGCCAAAATTCCTAAATCGGCTTTCCTGCTCTTCAATTATCATCTTCTTGGCGGCCTCCGACTCAAATTATGATCAGATCTGAGAATCATTTTCGCAGAGGGTCTCTCTTCTTCTCTTCAGATCCGGTAGATGCCTCAGGTTTTCTTTTTCCTCCACCAACCTTTCATCCCTTTTTTTTTTCTATTTCTCTGAGTTTTTTTTTCCGAACACCTAGCGGGTTTTTGTGAGGGCGAAATTCTTTACTTTTTTTATTTTTTTTTTAGTTTCTACTAACTAAATCTTGCGCTACTCTCTCCATATTTGCAAAAGTTTCAGCAAACACATTCATATTTCATCCATAATTTTGTATGGTGTGCACAGGTGGTCCTGAGGTTAGTGGCAGTGAGATCGATGTTGAATTGCTGATGATGTCTCAATTAAAGATGGAAGTTAGACAAGTGCCACCCAAGAATCTACAAGTACCACACAAGAATCTAAAGATGGTGGACAATCTACTGTAATTGAAATGCTACTTATTTGGATCAAGGTTGTAATTTGTAATTTGATAATTTAAGCTGTAATTTATCCTTTGATGACTTGCATTTTGAGGTTGTAATATATGATTAGTAACTGAAATTTTTAGACATCATATGTTAGTGAAATTATCAGTTTTTGTAAATTCAGAATTTTATTTTATTTTTTAAGAATTTCGGGTTAACAGGTCGGGTCACGGGTGACCTGAATATTTTCAGGTCAGGTTAGGGTTGTGAAAGTCGACCTGTTTATTTATAGGTCGGGTTCGGGTTGGCTATATTTTATCCGGGTTCGGGTCCGACCCGACACGCCAACCCGAACCTGACACGAATTGCCAGCCCTACTCTGGAGTGCGTAGCGCGCCCCGGGCAGATTTATTTATTTTTTTAATTCTTTGTAACTTTTTAATCAAATTTAATTTTTTTGATGTTTGGCCTTTGCCCCGCCATCAATTTTTCCTTTTCGATTAGCTTCGAAAATGAATTTTTTAATGTTTGAATCGGGAGAATCCTAAGTTGAATGTAAATTGTTATGACAAGTCCGCCGGCTTCCTTTCATGAAAGAGTTTGGCTTCCACTGATTTCAATATTTTTTTAAAAAAATTTTTATTAAGATTTTGGATAATTTTGGCCAAAATTGATTTACCGGAATTGTTTTCGGCTAATATTTTTAATTACTCACATGTAGAATTGAATTTTTTGAGAGTTGAAAATTCTATAGTTTGAAAATTACGTTCTACGGGCAAAAATGACCAAATGCAGTATAGGTGAGAAATTTTTTGGATTACGAAGGATCACTTGGGCAAAAAAAAAATATAATACGTAGGGGCATTTACGTCTTTAAGGATACATGGAAGGTGCTGACATCATCGCCATGCAACACTGATTCTTAGTCGGTTTGGACTTGGCCCCACGCGACAACAAGGTATTCGACAATTAACGATGGTTGCCCTAATAGTAATGGGGAAGCCATATATAAGGGACAACAAAGGGACCTTTCTAGAACGTCGCGCAGCACAACTTTGTCGGCGGAGAAGGTAAACATCCTTTCTGGGTTTTCTCCCTCAAAAGATTAGGGTTTTGTTTCGCCGTTTGTTTTCTTGGATCGGACTCTAGCTTAATCATTTATCGGTATAGTTTATTCACGAGCTAAGTTATCGATCGGAATCTATTATTTATTACTTTTTTTCCGGGAAAAAAATTAGGGCTTCAAGAATCCATCAATTATTATATCGATTCTGTTTCGTTTTTCCAGTCTGATTTTTGTTTGTTTTGCTCCGATGCAAGGTGACAGAACGATTGATTGATTGTGTTTGATACAAAACTCCCGTTGACCGAACCTTCACCGGTGAGAATTTTTCTTCTCTGCTAAGTAGATCTCGTTTTTGCTGTTCCGGTTTCCCTTTTTGAATTTTCCATTGTTGTACTCCCTCCGTCCCATAATTATTGTCCAATTTTACTAAAATAAAATATTTTATTTTTAGTCAAACTTAACTATATTTTACCTTGAACAATCGGATATACCCCTACATAAGTTTTTTTATTAATTACAAATGTGTAACTTGATCCATAAAAAGTCAAATTGGACAATAATTTTAGGACAAAATTTTTTGGACAAAGTGACAATAATTATGGGACGGAGGGAGTATAAATTATCGTTTGATTGAAATTAGTGCTTTGTTTGTTTGTTTGTATGTATCCAAGGTGGGAACAATCTCCTCCGGACTGACCCTGATCTACAGTCGGCGAGAAGGTGAGATTTCTCTTCTCCAAAGTCAGATCTGGTGGTTTTGCTGTTTGAATGTCCCCTTTTTGAATTTTTAGTTATTAGTTCTTTGTTTTGTTTTGTTTGTAGTTTGTATTGAAGCTGGGAACAATGGATACAGTGGGTTCAACTTGCTACGTTATTTCTTTTTTTCCTTTTCCTTTTTATATACTCCTTCCGTCCCAAAATTATTGTCCAGTTTGAGATTTTACTTTTAGTACAATTTAAACTAAAAATAAAAATTTAAACTGGACAAGAATTTCGGGTGGGACGGAGGGAGTAATCATTTTTAATTATCCTCCTTGATCTTTGGAACTACTCATTTCGGGTGTTCTTTGGGGGGTGGTGTTTTATAGGATGATGACTTTTACCCCGGATTTGAACGGGGATTGACAACGCTGGGGTTCATCATCAACAAGAAAGGCATCAACAATCAAGGGGTGATCCTAGCCCTCAATCATGCGAAGCCAACACCTGAAGGTCCAGAAAACTACGTTCACATCCACCCATACCTGCTTGCTTCTTTTTCTGGTGGGTGCCAACGTTCTCATGACTATTTGAAGAATGATCTGCCACTTAAGGTACTTGCTGTGAGCACTAACACATAAACAGTTACCCAGCTACCTAAGCAAAAATATTTGACTGTGTGACATGATGTGTTTCAGTGCAGAGACTATTTTCTGAAGCATGGAAAAAAGCTTCTGCTGCTCGAGCATCCAAGTGGTTATCCGAGTATCTGTCCGAAAATCATGACAGTGAAGACAGTTACTCATTTGGAGTACTGTTGGCTGGGTGGGATGAAACAAGGGTAACTTTATGCTCAAATAACCACATGGTGTTATAAGAAACCTCTTTTCATGGTTACACAACTGCTAATGTTTTAATGATAAGAGAAATCGTAAAACGTAGCCTTCCCCTTCAAGTATTTGATTTGCCAAGCCACATTCACCATACTCGTGGAAAGTCCTGAAATTGGTCTCATACCTTGCATGAGTTATGATTCAGTGATCTGCGTTGTGCTATGCCTTGTATGAATTATGATTTGATGTTCCTCGTCCTCGATGTGCTCTAAGATAGTCTGTCCGGTATTGCTTAAGAGGGCTGCAACTGCAAACTTTTTATTCTGTTAAACCCAAAAAAATGCACTTCCTTCTTAAGAAATCTATAGTTGATGACGTATTTACCCTTTATAATGCCTGAGACATGAATCAAGTTACTAAACTATGGTCTGTCTGTCTGTAGGAGAGGCCTTCCTTGTATAAAGTGAACGCTAAAGGGAAACGTAGTAAAAACACATCGGCTGGATCTGGATGTGCTGCTACTGCGTGGGCTGCAGTGACTGACGAGTATGTCTCTACTTTGTGTAAACTTGGTCGTTGCCACGCTTCATTTGAATTGTTTTAATTTTTGTTGGGTTTCCTGTTTCTCTACAGTTCCTCTTACGATGTCGAGAGTATATCTTTGGATGATGCTACGGAGTTGGCCAAAATGACACTTTCTCTTTGTGTGTATGTCATGCATGAAAGTGGTGTTTGTTACCCGTGTTTGTATTTTTGAAGTTTTGTTTATTCACATGGACGCATGTTCTAATTTTCCCGGTCAAGTTATCCGAGTCAAAAGTGGCCGACAACGAGTGAAATGTGCCTTGGCGAGACTCTGGCTACTTTATTGCCGGAAATTTTATTGTACGGAATCGTTTAGGTGTTTCGTTTGTGTTGGTCGGTGAAATGGCTTTGTTTAACCTATATGTTACAAGACGAGCATCGATGGTTTATTCTTTCCTCTATTCTCTCTCAGTCTGACTTTGCCAGTGTAAAGAGAGCAGAAGAGAAACATCCACTAATTGAGAAACCAATCAAAAATATTCTGGTAATGGTTACTGCCACGAATTAAATGTGTGGTAAATTGGGACAAGAACACCCTAATGTTCTCCAATTTAAAGAAAACTAATTCAAGGCTTCCCTTTTTTGTAATCTACCTGTTTTAATCCATATTCATCAGAAAACTTAAAAAACTTGGAAGAACTTTTCGTGTCCAAACATGGTGGTTATTTTTTAATAATGTTTTCCTCCTTTTTCTTAGGGATGCTGTATTTTAAATAATCTTGCTTTGAATGCTGGTTCCTTTATTTAAAAAATGGATGCTGTTTTTGGGTGTATATTTAGTTTGTCATTGGATTAAGAGGGGTTTGTTTTTATGATCTCGTTTGCATATTGCTGATTGTGTGTAGTTGTTCTACGCATAGATTTGATAGACCTGGCCAAATCTCATCGGTGTCCCGAGAATTTTAAATATAATGTTGAGTAGCTTAATTTGATTCTTTTCATCTTCATTGTTTTGATTCTTTTCAACTCCCCTGCTGACAATTGTTATTTTTTCTGTATGCAAGTCTATTTTGTAGGACAAAATGGGATTGGGGTGTTGGTTCGGGATGATGACATAGTCGAATTGCAGAAGCAGTATTTGGGTGAACGTGGGCGAGAGTGGGAAGATATTAGTAACTTGAATCTAGTTTGGGTACGCAGAAGGGAAAGCCAACGTGAACTCTACAAAGACCGCGCTCTCGCTAGATCATCCAAAGTGTTCTTTGGATTATGATGAACGATATTATTGGCTGATGATTAGAACTTTGTACTTGAATTTTCAATCCAATTGAACTGCAGAATCAGTTAATTTAATTCAGCTTTTGTATAATGGAAACTTAAAAAATGGGTGCTGTTTTTGATACTGTCGGAGTGTCACAAATCACTGTTGATGTATGTTTTTTTTTTTTGGTAAAATATATGTTATTAATTTCTAACACAGTATGTATTTTGTGGTATACTCTTGGGAAAATTTTAAAAAGGGGCTCCGGAAAAATCAAAATTATTATTAAGGCCATCATTATTTTTATTTCTTTTCTTAAATTGGTTAAATACAGAAAATATTTTTCAACACTCAAAAATACTACTTCATCCTTCCTTTTCCCCTAGAAAATAATCGACTCTCTCACAATCAAAAAGAAAAAGAAGAAAGAAAAAAAAAATGATCGGTCACGGTAGGAGTCGAGGACTCAGTTTTACTTCTCCTTTCAATCCAAAGTTTTAGATAGAATAATGACTTAAACCACTTGAATCTGAATCATCTCCCCTTTTTCTGGTTATATCTTTTTAATTTAGTTTTCATATTGTTCTTGACTTTAATTGTGAATTCCCGAATTTCACCAAGAACATGGCAACCCTGATGAATCTCCTTTTTTTTTTTGGTTATATCTTTTTAATTTAGTTTTCACATTGTTCTTGACTTTAATTGTGAATCTCCAAATTTCACCAAGAACATGGCAACCCTGATGAATCTGGAGCTTCTTTCTGCAATCAGCATCAATATTGATCTTATTCCCCATGTCCACCGCAGGAAAAGAGGAAGAAAAAATTATAAACAAGTGCTTCCTTCGATCAAAGGTTGTCAAATTTTCAGCAAAAAAGTAACTAGGATTAGAATCATACTCTGGAAATGGGTTATTAACAGAGCAGATAATTTGATAGTTTTATGTGAGAAAGAAGAAGTAAAATAGTAATAGTAACTGTTGGGGGAAAAAAGGATAAACTAATCATTTGTAATATTATTAGATATAGAAATTATTTTAATGTTAATACTAAAGAATAAAATATGCTAACGCCTTTTAGAATAATTTTAATCTTTCCTCCGCCCTTTTTAAAAATTCTCCCTATACTTTTCATCCTAACCCTTTTGGTCATAAATATAATTTTTCCTGTTCGTAATATAGTTAGTTGCAATTAATTTTGAGGCTTTCCAAATTATTAATCACTTTTGGTATTGATTTAATTTAGGGATGAGCATGGTTTTGGTATTGATGTGGCCGCGGGGAGGGGACTGATAATGTATTGTTAACATTTATTTGGAAGATCAGTTCAATACTCACTTCTAGTTTATTTTTACTTCATTTTGTTATTACATTGTGGACCCAAAATGGTACACAATACTACAATAGTGTCACGCCCAGTTCTTTTCCCCCTTCAATTATTTACATTGTTTACGTATTTACTGAATTTTAAGCTGTAATCTTTGGCTGTAATGCTTTGGAATAAGAAAGTTCCCTCAATCCTCCTAGGCACTAATAATCTCGTTGAGACCTGAAAATGATTTTTTTTTTTTATTGAATTATTGAATGAAAAATCTCTGCTCAATTTCTCTCTTTCTTCTTCAAGGGATGAACCCTAATTTTCTAATTTCACAACTATCTTTTTCTGCCTTTCTTTCTTAATTCCTTTGCAATCTGGAATCTGAAAATCTAAATTCTGGATTATAATCCCAAAACTGGTGAAAACCGTTACAAATGGACACGGAATTCAGACCAAAATTGTGCGGGCTTGGATTCAGATTTCGGAGTCAGAACTCAAGGAGGAAATTGAAGATCTGTTTTACCTGACCTTTATTACTTTAGCGGGTATTCTGTCACCCTTCTTTCCCAGCCCTATCATCTGGGCGGGTCCTTTAAGCCTACTCTTTTCCTAACCATGGAGTTCTCAGGGGTGATACCAACAGCACACTTAGTCATCCTGTATTGGGACAGCAGCACACTAATCAATCATATCGGGGAAAAATCCCAAAGAAATACAATTCACAAAAACAAAACTAACATCCTAGCCCCAACCCTAACCGATCTATACAAACAAAACACAAAAAAAAAATTACAAAATATTGAACAAAGAAGAGAATCCTCCGGTTGGTTTGTTGTTGATCCAAGAAAGCGTGTCTTCAACTTCACCAATCCTCACAAACACAAAGAAGACAGGAATCAACAACAGACACTACAACAAAAATGGGCTATTAATACCTTTATGGTGGGACACTTCTCTTAAAATGTGTCTCATTATATGTGTATTAGCACATTTGCTAAAAAGTGTTTTATTAAAAATGAAAAAATGTATGCATATTATGAAACACTATCATAAGTGTACTATGTGGGGTTGCTTGTAAACTATTACCCTACTTAATGGGTCGCTTTAAAGTGTCTTAATAAGTGACAATCTAATAATACACTTTCAAATTTTTTATGACTTATTGTGACTCGATTATAGGAGACACTATTTTGTAGTGTCCCACGTAATGTGAATCACATGTGTCCTATTACACCACTTATTGAAACACAAAAAAGTGTCTAAACTACTCATTTTTGTTGTAGTGAGAGCTCCCAACGCCTTCAAGTTAATGGATGCTGAAAACAAATAAATGCTGAAATATGTGATGGAGATCTAAGTAGATATATAAAAAAATAAGAGGAGAAGAGGAAGTTGTAGCCGCCGCCGCCGCTTGAATCGTGGTGAAGAGAAAGTTGTCGCCGCCGGCCGCCGTCGATTCTGCAGATAGGAGCTAAGCTAGAGTGTTGTTGTTGGTTGGGGGGTGGGAGTTGTGGCCTAGAGAGGTGGAGAAAGTTTGGTTGGGTGGGGGGTTTGGGAGTTATACAAGCAAACTTTTAAAGAAAGATTGCAAAAAATATGACATTGTTAGAAACATTTAAAGAAATCATTATGAAAATTATAAAAAAATATATATATAATGAGAGTTTTCAATTGAACACATGAGATAAGGTTAGACATGGCAAAATATAAATAGTCAAGTCCAAATATCACAACCACGTCACTTCATCATTTAATGGTAATTTTTGAACGTAAAATTATAAATTTATAGATAAGACTAAATTAATTGAGAGATTAACACTAAGCAGTAAATTTTAATGGTAAAATAGAAAGGTGACCAAAATTAAATTCAAACTAATAAATTCAAAACTAACCAACTGAAATAAAAAAAAAACCAATCATGATGTAAAAGAGAAAAAGAAAAAAAAAGGGGCCACGATGAGAAAAAAACTCATTCAATGATTAATATTGATATCTATAATTATGTGTTAATGTGTAATTATTACTCGGGTTTCTTCCTTTTTTATGTAGACAATAAGAAAATATATAATAAAAACACACCGAGATAATAGTGAAAAATAAAATAATTATTTCAAAAAATTTTCAAGAAATGAAACTTTAAAGAGAAGTCATCAAATTTAGAGAAAAAAAAAGAAAAGAAAAACAACAACAACAAAGGTGAAGACTATGTAACCTAAAAAAGTTGACGTAAACATTATATTATATAGTTTTTAGAAAAATCTACGAACAAACTTCTAAAGAAAGATTGCAAAAGATATATAGAGATGTAAAACAAAAATAAGTTTATAGAAAGGACTAAATGAGAAACTTTTCTGCTAGAGGGAGAGCTTAAAAAATTTGACACACGTAGAAATATTTAGATCATTATGAAAAATTAAGATAATGTTTTTAGAAGATATAAATCCATACATCAACAAAACGAAAAAAATGAACAATAAAGTACATTGGAAGATTTTGAATATTAAAATTTTTTCCAAATGTACTTAAAATAACAAAACACATTGACATATTAAAAATTACAAAATTATAATTTATATCATTAATATTATTTTTTTACATATATCACTTTGTCAAAAATTTCATATAATCGTTAAATCGTTAAGTTCATACATATCTTGAACAACTCGCACAACGTGCGGGGTAAACACTTGTGTGTGTATATATATATATATATATATATATATATATATTATCATAAATAGATGGACCTTGTTACATTTTGCAGATTTACCGATGTTTGGAAAAGGCTTCGGTATGATGGGCCGGATTATTATCATTTCATCAAGTATTAATTACAGGCATCGACTAAAGACTCGCTCAAGTCAGAAAGGTAGTACCATTTTAGCGGTATTACTAAAGTGTATGATTGATTATCCCCGACCAACATGACTAAGGTTTTATAAATTTATGGGCCAATTACACAAGGTAAGGCCGAGGAATTCACAAGAAGCTCGAGTCCAGTATAATGAATTGTGGGAAATTATAAACCCCATAATGCAACTATGAGGAGTTGCACGAGATTACTCCGAGATAAAAATATTGGGACATTTCAATTACGATTAGAGTTCAACTTTGAATTGACATAAGTACGAATCAGTGATTAAAATATTTTGTGAAAGAGATTTGTCTTCCTCATCAATAGATATATATCTTGTTCAAATCCAAATTAGTCGAGAAGTAAATGTAATATACAAATTAAGAGAGGGGAAAAAAATATCGTAACTTGTCAACAAATATACTCCATCCGTTCTTATTTGGAGTACAAATTCACAATATATTTTATTTTGAGATCATGCTCAATTAATAGAACAGAGGGATCAATCTTAAGACGTCACAGAAAAAGAGAAAGGTAAACGAGTAGAGAAGGAGAGCTGTAGAGGTGAAAATTTAAAGCAGCGGCAACCAAAGCATGGGGGTGTTGACAATGTAAGATGCATATGATAATACAGTTTAACGGGAGGAAATATGGGAGTGATGAGAAATTGAGAATAATGATGGGGATTGGTGAGTAGATTTTATGGTGCCATACTGCCATCTTCCTTTCACATGTTTGATGTTCTAGGCTTCTGGCCTCCTGTCTTCTTTCCCTTGGCCTAAATCCAATTCTCTCTTTAAGAGTTGGGAGTTGGGACAATGCACATGATAATTAACCAACATCTATTTGGCCTCTCTCAGGTATAACCTTTCTTTTTTCTTTTTTTTTTTTTGATTTGATTAGTCAATTTGTTCAAACAATACACGGTTAATTATCCGGCTCTTGTTTTTCTAATAATCTTACTCTTTCGAAACTGTGAACCACACATTGTGAGAATATTACGTACTCCCTCCATCCCATATTTATTGTTTAATTTAGGTTTCATTTCTAATTCAAATTGTACTAAAAGTAAAATCTCAAAGCGGATAATAATTTTGTTGGAATGAACTATTCCAATTTCGTCCTCACAAAAAAAAATAAAATTGTTCATTATATTCTGTTTTAATTCCACAAATGGAATTTTTTTTCTGGAGTTGAAGAATATTCTTTTGCGGTGAATTTGTCAAGTCAATTCAAGATGAAATTTAGTGAAGGGAATCAACTGTGACCCTCTCAATGGAGATTATGACAAGGAAATAGTGTTGCACAAGGAGTGCATGCACTAAGGTATAAAATGAGTTAGAACGGGCAAGTATGGGCAACATAAACAGTGTAACACCAGCCACAACAGTTTCGGCCCAAAGAGGTTGAAACCTTGATGGCTTTGTTCTTCTTGTTGAAAACTATTGACGATTGTGACATCAACCCAATCACCAATTATCATCACTAAAACTGGTTTTAGCCTTTTTAGAACTTGATTAATCGTAGCAAAACCCATGTGATTTAATAGTCCTTGATGCTTCTGAATCGTGTAGATATTTTTCTGTAACAATGTAAACTCGAACAGATAGATATGGACACCCCCTCCTAGTTGGCGGGGGGACCTTATATTTATAGGTAGGTTGTAATATAAGGTGTTTGATTTTTCTTCACTATGAAAGTAGAAAACAAGCAAATGAAGCCAGATAAATAATGCAGAAAAACTCAAGAATGTACCAAGAATGCGGACCCCTTTCTCCTCATTTTCAACAGAGCTCATAGCAGAGAAATATCAAGTCAAAAAATGGCACTTATATATAGACAAAAGTTTAATTACAATTTGGCCATGTGGGTTGTGTCACAAACCATAAGGGCATGATTGACACTAAAATTCTACCAAAACCAAAAAGAAGAACTGTAGAAAGAAGCATGAGATCAGAGAGGAATGACTGCACATTTGCAGTGACACAACAAACACTGCTGAGTGACCCCAAAGTTTCTGCTGAAAATAGATCTCCCAAATATCAAATGTGAGGACGAGGAGCAAGTAGCCAAAACAAGGACATTATGATATCTCTTCATCTTCAATCTGTCCAACCACCAACAACGAAGCCCTTCTTATCATCTAACCCCACCCTCCAAATGATTCACCTTTCAACCCCTCCCCTTTAGCCTACAAGCACCTGATATTGAAACCACAAAGTTCAAAAGAAATAAGCAGGAAGATGATTCACTCTTTCCCCTCCAACCTTGAAAAACTCTAATTGTCAAAAATTTGTGTTCTTTTGTTTTTTAAGTATGAACATTGCTAATTAACAAAAAGGTAAGCGGTTGCAGTCGAACTCGGTTATTGTTTTTTTTTTTTGCCTTTCTTTCCCAGCATCTCATTGTCCAATATTATGAATCGAGCTCGGTATCGGGAGAGTCGAGGGGAAAACAAGTGTCTTCCCCACCAGTACTCCACAAGAAATTAGCATAGTTAGCTGCATAGAAGGAATTGTCAGGTTCTGCAGACATGGCTTCTAAATATGTCTCCTCTGCAGCCCAGAGATCCTTTCTAACTTGCCAGAGGAAGTTTGCATATTTGTTCAATGCTTCCGCATCCTTGGGCTCTACTTTTACAGCCCTCTTGAAATAGTCCTCTGCTCTGTTATTACACAAAAAAAAAACAAGAGTTAAAATCAACTTTTCCCGAAAACCAAAGATGCAGCTTTTAATAAAAAGAATCAATTATTTCTAAAAATATGCAGTGCTGTGCTTAAGAGATAGGCGAATCCCACAATTGATGTAAAGTCTGTAGTCTAAATTGATTCAGGGCCTACATTTAGGGGGGAGGAAAAAAAGAAAAAAAGAACAGTCCACCTCAGCTATATAATTCAATAGTTTTGTTTCCAAATTATATTTTCCTGGGCAGTACTTTAAAAGGCAAGCCTGAAATGACCCTATTCCAAGATATGCAATTGCTTAGAAAATAATGGAAACCAGTATTACCACACATTTCCCTATCTAGAAACAAATACTAATCAAAATTTAGGCAAAACGACATTTTGTCTTCCAGGAAAAGCTATTCTCTACACGAGTGTGACATTAGCATCAACAAAGTCGCAGACTTGAAAATATCTGTTAGATATCTAACTCTAGCAATTCTTTTGACAATTTATGTGATGGAAATCAGTTGCAGATTCTAAAAGACTCTCTCAAGCAGATTGAACATAAGAAAACGAAATCTAAAGCAAAGAAAACTGGCATTGAAAAACGACTTATGGATGAAGAATCTCTGTACCTGTCGTAATCTTGGATGACCAAGTACAAAAATTGAGCATAATTGGCTAGCAGAAGTGTGTTTGTGGGCTCTCGGTCTAGAACTGTTTGATACATCATCTGGGTGTGGAAGTAATCTACATAATCATCTTCATCAATCTTCGCATGGATCGGCGAAACGAAGCTCTGCATCGTGTCATGATCCAAAGCTTCATCCCTGAATTCAGACTGCATTTTTGAAGCTTCATCCACCATTGAATTCCATAACCTCATCTCCTCTTCTCTGGTCACCTGTCCTGAAACCGATTCCTCTTCGCTAGTTCTGGAAGGACCATCAGGAATAATTGATCTATGATGATCAAATGTAATCCGATCAAACATTCCATCCCCATCTGTACCATTAGCAATTGGCCTGTATTTACCCCCACCACCATTGCTTCCACCAATTGAAGCCGTCCGCCCACTGGAAGAAGAAACCGAAAATGACTTAATTGATGAAGAATCAAACTTGGGATTCCCATGAGTGTGATCTCCAACTTCAGAAACAGATTCTATACTGGCAGCATAAACTTGATCGTGCTGTGTAGCAGCTAAGGCAGGATTACTAGCCATTGAATAAACACTATAATTAGCAAGCAATATCATCACATAAACCATAAAAGTTGGCGTATGTGAAAACACTTGCTGGAATAACCAAACGAAAGAAGCGTGCATCTCCTTCTGGACTCTAACCAGAATTCCTTGCAAATCCTCATAAAACAACATTTCCCTCATCTGTAAAGTATAACTCTGCAATTCTCGAATGATAAACACCATGGAGGAAAAAGCCTTCTTAACAGAACAATAAGCTGATTCCCCAGCTTCTCTAAATCCCTCTTCCCACTGCTTTTTCCTCTTTATGATTCTAAGAGACAATGGAAGGTCTACGCTGTTGGCTTTCCTCTCTATGCTTGCCGGAATTATCTCATCTCTCTCCGGCCAATCCGGTGGCTTTAATGGATCAAAAGACAAATGATTTTCTAAAATAATGGCTTCGGTATTATCTCCGCTAATGCTTTCCGAGCCAATTTCTGCGTCCTCTGCCTCAGCGGTACCATTATCACTCAAAATTTCATCATCGTCCGCCGATATTTGAAATTTTAAGGCCAATTCCTGAATCCTCTTTGAGAACTCTTCATCGGAGAAAGAATCAAAACTGGCACTGCATTTCCTTCTGGTTAGAAATGTTTTAGGCTTCGGTTGTTCCCAAGATCCCGTCCTGTAAAGCTTAGAGTATGAGTTCCCGAGAAAACCTGATCGGCAGACAAGAATTCCGTCGCCGGTGCTCAAACTACGCCGTTTCAAAGAAGGGGATGAGATTGCGGAAGCCAAAGTCTGAGAAGAAGATGGCGAATGAGGAACAGAAGGTTGTGACCAATGTAAACAAGTCGCCGCCACTTTAACTCCGCCCATCTCTTCACCGAATTATTCAGAATCCCAAAAGTGAAGAGAGAAAAAAAGGCAACGGCAAAAGGGCTCCGCTGATTCTGTACAAATCCAGAAAAGCGTCCACCTACGTTAACCAAAAATCAATTCCCACAACCTGCAAAAAAAAAAAAAAACGATTGAATACCCAAATCAACTCCGATACAATATTATTCAACAAATCCAATGAAACAACAAGAAGAAAGAAATATTAATCAAGACCAACAATAGCCATCATTAGACCCACTAATATTCTCCCATTGAAATCGGATCAGGAAAACCGCAATCCAAGACACACTCAATGGGCACGGAAATGCATGCCTCTCAAAAAAAAATAATCATTGAAACCACCATGAACAACTTACTAACTCTAGCCGGCGGCGGCGGCGGTCGGTGACAGCGTTTATGCCGGTGAACTGTGATTCTGAATGAGGAAGAACACTGAAAAAGCTTGCCGAAGCAAAAGCGAAGTACGTGCGCCGTACCTTCACTTATCAACAAGAGAAGCTCTGAATTGAGCCAATTATTTATACTGAACCCATTGAATATATAAACAAATAGGCCTAAAAAATGTCAAAATAAAAGAGGAGAATCGGAATTCTTTTTCAATATTTTTTTCTCTCTGGGAAAAGGAAAAAAAAAATCTGCAGAAAGTCCAAAATTGGTAGAGGAATTTTGGAAAAACAAAAAAAAATAACAATAATAATAATAACGCTTAAAAAAGAAAAAAAGAATCGAATCAAAAAGTTCTTTTGTTGGGATTCTACCCGTATGAGACGACGAATCTTGTACTGTTATGGTTTCTGTATATTTGTACTGTTAAGTATGTACTATACGGTAATAACGAAGAGAGATTACTAGTCCAGATCTAGATAGTAATAATGGTGATATTAAATGACTGTAATATTTTCCATTTTTACTACTACATTGTTTTTTTTTTTTTTGGTTTAAATTTTTAATGTTGTTGTCCGAGTCAGATGCCACAGTTGTATTCGAAGCACCGAGTCTAACGCGGCTGAGTTCACGGGTTCCTGAGATTTTATCTGCGCAATTGGGCTTTCGCCACGTGTTCTCACTGACCCTCATTTACTTAAACCCTACCGTATTTATCATTTGTTTTTCTCACGACACGTCTAGAAAATTAAATTTTATTTCCCTTTTTAACCTTGCGTTCCACCATTTGGGGGTGCGGGGTTTGAGGGAAATAATGAAGTAATTTCTATTCTAGATTCATCTTCGAAATGAGATATTTTTAGAAATTAAATTAGTGATTTAGTTGCATATTTTTGTGTTTACTAGTAGCTTTTAAGTAAGACTGAAATGGCGACACGTTAGTCTCCTCATATTAGAAAATAGTGGATATTATAATAATGGTGTTTTTAGCCCCAAAATAACATAAGGATCGAGTACTTGAACTCAATTTATGATTTGGTAAATAAAAGTCCGAAATATATTAATTTGATCTCAGAAGTAGAGTGATTTGATTTTACTTTAGAAAAAAGAAATGATCTTGACAGTTTTTGGTAATTTGAAGAAGGCAATGACAACAACGTGCAATGTTGTCACCACATTCGTTTGTGCAAGCGCTAGCGTGTTATTGCACAAATTGATGTTGATTTGTTTAATTCAAATTAAATAAAAATATATCCTTAAAAAATGTTGTAAGGCTTACCTCAAATAAATAACACTTATTTGATCCCAAAATAATTTTTCTATATAAATTTTCATTTCTAGTATACGTTGTAATAAAATAAAATTTAAACAGGTACAATTAGTACATTATATATAGCGAGACACATAACATAATTGTGCAAGTTTTGATTTTCTTCTACAATTTTTTGTGAACCATTTTTTCCCCCTGCTTAAGGTGTCTACAAAATTGTCAAGATGATGTTACTACTGATACGTGATAATAATTAAATTAAACGGACAGCTGATTAATGAATTAATATTCCATTAACTTGAATTCAATAGCAAGATTGTTTGATCTGATTTGATGAAATTGGAAGAGTAGTTCAACGATATATACTATGCTTTACTCTTTTTTCTGTGTGTTCTACGTACTCAAACTTTTGAAAATCTATAGTAATCCCTTTTACCCTATTAAAGTAGAAGACATGAAGCTTATGTGGCAACTACATATGCATCTGTTTTGGCTCCAATGCACCATATTTCAGATTTCAGGAGTTTTTTTGCCACGTGTAAATCTCTTTTAATTAGAACCTATATAATTCTTTTTTTAAAAAAAAAACACATGTCTTAGATGTGACCGAGTCCAATGAAAAAATTCTACAAATAAGAATCAGTTACATTTCAAACGAATGGATATATTAATTCAAATTCAAATGTCCAATCGTACAGTTTTGCAGGCTTAATATAAATAAAAAATTAAAAAAAACCTAAATCCAGCAATTAAGAATAATGTCTTATAAATTAATTATTTATTATTCCCTTATAACCTCAGATTTATAGGTATATTTTTTTAAGCCCCAAACCATAGCATAAATGATATATACGCCAAATTAATTCCTCAAAAAATAGTAATTCAATTAGATTTTAATAAAATAGTAATTTAGAAGGGGCGCCCGGGCATCTGCCTGGGCCAAACATCTAGTATTATATTAAGAGAGAAACCAGAGAGAGAAAATAAAAAAAAAATTCTAAAGGTGTCACATAGGATAAAATCCTATGTGTCATTTTTCTAATGGTTGAGTCAAAAAATATTTACAACAATTATACTAATAGTACTTCAAATTTTATGTAAATAAAGTTTTATCAAATGGCATTTAAAACTATAGTTTAAAATAAGAAAATAAAAATTAATTAAATTTAATGGACATGATTAATGAACATTAATGCACCAGAATTATTACCTTCCAAAAATAATCTCTCCGAAAAATAATTCCCAATTAGTATTAACTAATTGATTTAAATTGTAAGTTCAAAGGGATAAGGCATTTGTTATTTTCAACATTAATTAATCGGGATTTTTTTACTCCAGCCAATTCGAATAAAAAAAAAATCCCTCTATAAAATAATCCCTAAAATCACTGCTTGATTGATTTAAAACCTAAGTTCAACGTGTGGGAAAGTGGGAATTCTTTAGTGATTACAAACTAATCAAATTTAATTGAAAAAGACTAATCAACAGTAATGCAATGGAAGTCATTTTCCCACCAATCTTATCCCTTAATCAACGTAACGTTATCATCTTTATTCCATAGTTATGAATTTTACTTTAGTTACTGGTTATGATATCTCATTCAGACATTCACTATAAATATCTACTTCGGTATAACTCTAACATGTACAATGACAACCGGTGAAACACTAAAGCGAAGCATCTTATACACTTTACAAAACATCTTTGGAGCGACGGCCTCACTCCGATCATCTTTTATTTAACATGTAAGATGTCTCTTTCTCCAATTGTTTGCAATCTTGATTAACATGCGGTTTTAACCGTGTAGACATAAATTGCTTTGATTTATATGACATGTAACATTTGATTTTATTATTTTGGTGGTCTTTTTTACTTTTATTTGTATATAATCCTTATACATATTTCATTATTTAATTACATTTTTGGCATACAATTTATAAAATATTGTCATTTCAAAGTATATATAACAATTTTATTTATCACGATTTAATTTAATTTTAATCATATATTTATTATTACAAACCAGTTACTTTATTTATATTAATCACATTTAAATTTAAAAATATATTTTAATAGATGTATATGTATAAACTCCGCACATCGTGCGGGTTTAACATTTAGTATAAGCTTAACTGAAATGAAAAATCTAACAGCTGTTGAAATACTTTAATTAAATCATCCTATTCTTAGAGACTCGTATTCTCAATTGGGATTCCCAAATGTCATGAATCTTGATATCCCTTTAATTGCAAATGATTCTATAGACGGGGGAGTTTTTTTTTTTTTTGGCTTACGATATTACTATTCTTAAAGTGTTTAATGGTATTTTATGTATTCCATTTGCTCTATAAAAAGAGTTTATAATGTAAATGGTAAATTGTGTTAAAAGAAAAATTATTTTTGTAGGACAAAAGGAATAATTATCGGGAATTTTTGAACATTGACGTAATGACACTAACGTCTTGTGAAATAGTTATAAAATGATAACAATGAATCAGAATTTTACAAATAGTAACAAATATTATGGAAAACATCATATTTCTTGTTTGCTTATTTCACGGGTTGCTATGGGGCATTGGATTCATTTACTACTTCGTTTATATGATTATGTAAATTACTAATGAGTGGTTAAGAATGTGTTATTGAAATATACTAGGTATTAGACCCGTCCGGGGAAGGCATACACATTTAGACATTTTTACATAAATTTTGTATTTTTATAAAATATGTAATGACTTCAGTTTTAAACACGATTACCTTTGGATTTACAGGAATTTGTTTTTTTTTTTTAAATGACATTTTAAATTCACCGGTGATAAGGTTTATGCAGATCTCTTTAAAATTTGTTAGGATTTGATACTCTCTCCAATCAATCTCTGTGTTAGGATTTGGTCCATGAAAATAAGGGTTCGGTTTTTATTATTTTGTTTTTTTAAATTATTTTAGTTATTTTTTTTGTTTTATTATTTTGTTTTGTGTATTTTTAAATCTAAGAAATTAAGAAAATGCCACGTAGGATTAAATCCTATGTGACATGTGCTCCATGCCTTTATTTTTCTCTCTCTGGTTTTTGCCTTAGTATAGTATATAGATAGCTAGATAGATAGATAGATAGATAGATATATAGATAGATAGATAGATAGGGCACAGTCAAGATGGATTTAGTTGACTCTGGACACTTCATATAATTTTTTTTTTTATTTATATCTCTAGATTAAAAAATAGATTCTGTTATATTAAACGAACATAATTTAAATTTTTTTATTCAGACCGAAAGGATATCAAAGAATATCCAAAGATATTATTTGCTGCCGCACCTAATATTTTGCAAAGCAACATTGAATTATTTAAAAGGTCACTGTAGGTTCTAGTAAATTAAAAAAAGCGGTTGGAGTCGGACCATATTGCACATGGATTCAAGTGACAATTTTAGAAATGTCTAATAGAAGATGAAGCATGTGTCATTTTTGGGAACTTAATTAACGCCCGTTAAATTGTTAGTTTTATCAATTAAATGCAACTTACTTTAGTTACCATAAGAATGTGTCCATTATGTAGTAACTAAGCTAACATTTTGCTTACACTTTTAGAGAAACATTTGTACAATCACGACACATGTACGATATAGTTCGTTTTAATCACGACACATGTTTATAGACAGTAGTCTATCATGCTCATTGTTACACACAAAAACGATACTCCTTCCGTCCCATAATTATTGTCCAGTTTGGATTTTTATTTTTAGTTTAAATTGTACTAAAAGTGATATCTCAAACAGGATAATAATTTTGGAACAGAATATTCATCAAATGTAAAAAAGTTATAAAATTTGACGTTTGTATATTTATGTTTTCTTTCAGAATTTAGATGCTTCAAGAAATTACGGTATATCACGTGCTTTTCAGATGATTTATTAATAATCTTGCGATACTTACAACATGGGTTCAATTAATACAAAAACTAAATAGTAACTCCTAAATCGTAGTCAACCATATCTACGGTACAAAAAAAGTCAACTGTACATGAAAAATATACAAATACGAAATACAGAATACAAAGGGTAGGGGAGAGGGAGTCCAGAAGAGTCCATTGACGCGTGATTTTTTTTTTTTGATCAACTTAA